TGACTGGCCCCCCTCATAAGCCATTGTGATTTAATGAAGTATGACTGAGCCAAACACTGTATCCTATAGGGGCTTTTATCAAGTTAGGAGCCGTTTTTGAGTGCTGAGCACATGAAGTGTGTTGACAACAATAGCAATGAAAGAACACAGTTTATAAAAATCACTTAAAATACACTCCAGTAGTGAGTCACGGGCTCTCTGTGGACATGCAGGGAAAGACTGGACGCATCCACTCCTGCCAACTTACATAAAGATTCTTTTCCACAACCAAAATCTAAATTAATTAAATAAAAAATAACAGTAACAATCATTTTTCACTACACATTGTATAATCTGATACCAGACACTGAATTGCTGACTTGCTCTAGTTATTATTTTTAAATTAACAATGAATCAAATGGCCATTCGTCACAAAAAAGTAAAATAATTTTTAGATTCTTTAGTTCTCCGAGCTTTATGAAGCTTTTTAAGTCCCTTTTAGCCCAATTTTGGTATAAAGTGATATCTGTCTCAAAAAAGCTGCAATTGAACTAAAATGATCTATTCAAGAACAAACAGCAATCTGATGATTAAAGTGAACCATCTAGCACCTCCGTTCAGTATTTTAAGACTTAAAACATATTTTTATTCATTGGCATTTGAGTCTGTCTGATTTGCCTTTATCAGTTTAGCACCTACTACAATGCATTTGATTTCTTTCTTATCACTTCGTTCATTTATTTTTATCCATTCTGTCTTTTGTATAGCACTTCGGTCAGTGAGTTGCGTTTAAATGTGCTTTATAAAAAACAAATTTGAGCATCTGTGTATAGAAATGAATACTATATTAAAAGTGCCAAGCCTCAGCTTTAATTTATGTAGCTTCAAATCACTATTTAAACAGCAGTGTGGCTCATCCAAACCATTTTGAAATAGACACACTCACTGCATGCACAGGTTATTGAGCTGGTAAATAACCTGGCATGAGACAGGTCAAGGACATCAAGGTCAATAGACAGAAGTATTTCTAGATGGAGGCTAGCAGGTTCAAAAGCAGCAGACCAACCTACGCTTAGGTGGCTATACCAGGGTATCTAAAAATCTCAACAATATGATTTACAATATAGAGAAGCCCTTTTAATTCATTTCATATTAAACATATACAGTGATGCTGTATATTAAAGCAAAAATAATGTTGGAAAGCTATGTGCTGGGAGCATATAGACAATACAGCAGTAGAAGCAGTTTTCCTTTCCTCTTTTTTAAAGAAAAACACAGACACACAGTCACACTATGTTGTCTTTTTAGAAAGATAACAATGATTCCATTAATGTTATCTTCATTTGACTTTTCTGATATCTTTTTGGGCCTGCTCCTTATGTCTGTGGGGGAGACAAGCTAATTATACAGAGGAAGCCAAAGCCAAAATGCCCTGAACTATATACATACACTTGACAAAGTCCCTAAAATTTTATATACACATAATTTTTAGTTTTGTTGGTTTTAATACTTAAAATTGTTAATTTCTTCACTTTCATCAAGCTGCAGCCACATGAAAGTAAAATGTCCTCACTGTCTCATAAGCATGTCCAGCAGCAGGTCACAAGACACACACACCATGCAAACTATGGCACAGCGAGTGGTCACCACTTAAAAAGCCTTGGGGAACTTGACTTTTCCTCCCATCAGGTGGGTAAAAAAGGATGAGTGAGCTCTTTTGCTCTTTCACAAATATTTAGTGATAAGACCAGGTAAAATGTGAACAGTTATTCATTGTTTGCTACAAATTTAGATTCATTGTGGTAAAGAGGGGAAAGGGACAGTCACATATATGTGCAAGTTCATATAGGCGCACTCCTGCTTTTGTAAATACATTATCAAATTATCAAAGTTTCTTCTTTGAGAATGTTTTATTATTAGGGACTACCACTAACTACTAAACTGCCTAGTCACTATTCACTTTACTCTCTGGTGGCTGCAATGAAGAAAAGCGAGCATGTTATTATTCTGAAGCTTGCCCTGTGCTTTATGAAAAATATTATTCTGCTGAAAACAAGACATTATAATGGTGTAGATGTTAATGAAAATTCCATATCTAACCTAAAGGCCTAGGTCAGTGACTCAGAGTTTTATAGTCCATGTAATTTTAAACAGTTTGGACCACTCTCTCATAAGTCATCAGTTCTTTTTCTTAAAATGTAGGGACAATGTAAAATTAACAAAATACAAGGTAAGTACTCAATTGTAATTAAATAAGTATAGAATTTCTTATAGGCTGTGTTTACATTTGTAATTCCATCAACAGTTGTTCAAATCAGAAAGAAAATCAGAGAATAATTACCCATCTCAAAAGTAAATAACCAATACAATAAATGTGCATCATAAGGCACTTACAATGTAAGCATTGTCTGTTAATAGCCAACACATGCTTCTGTAAAAGTAATCAACTTCAAATTTTCCCCAATGTGAAACTTCTGCCAAAGGGAGTCAAATCCGATAGATGGCTGAAGTTAGGAAGATGCTGCCTGCCACACACCTGGTGGAATGTTTTGTAAGCAATAGTGCATTAGTTAATAAAATGCTAATAACAGAAACAGTCCGTATCCTGGAGAAGAGAAATGTCTTCCAACTGAACAGTCATATGTCATAAGTCAATACAACAGTAACACACCACTCAAAACACAGTAAATCAAGTGCATCTTAAAGTGTCCATGAAACACTACATGTATTAAGGCTAATTTACACTATGAACCCCTACTCTAAAAATACTCTCATCAATTTAACACTGTCCATGAAGCTAGGATTTAAAAAAGGGTTAAATGTAACATTTTTAGAGCATCTGTAGCACCAGTTTGTGCCAGTATTGAATGTGACATCACTCGGTTGGTTGTTTGCTGCTAATATACTTAGTTTATCTTAACTAACTTGTGACAGAACAATCAACTCAGTGAAAAAGACAGAAACAAACCCCAAAAATTAACCCCCCAAAAAAGGGGGACAGTGTTGAACTTCAGCTTGTGGGTCCTGTGAACCACTAGCGCACAACTCGCTCAAACAGCTCTTGTCCACAGTCCTCATTTAAAATGTCTATAAACAAATATATACAATATAAACAAACCCAAATATTGTGGTTAACAGGTAGATTCTCCCCTTTCAATGCAGCTAGCCAACAATGAAGAACCACTTACTGCTAAAGAGACAGAATAAGCAGACAGTATATTCTTGGTTTTTAATTTAACAGTCATCGCTGCTGCCAGGAGCAGCAGAAAAGGTAACCTCTAAAGAGAGCTTCTTAGTTAGAGCTTCCTTGTTTCCACTGAGTCATCAGTTCTTGCACAAGTTAGTAGTATTAATTTTGACAGCTAATGTTAATTTAGTTTTAATGATAGTCTTTTGACTAAAGTGTCATTTGGTTTTAGTCATAATTTAACCATCTAAATTATTTTAGTATTTCTTAACTAAATATCATAAAGCTACAGTAGTAGCTACAGTAAAATATAACAGTTTAAAGTCTGTTGTGTCTTTACCAGTGAGAGTTGCTCCAAAAGGTTTAAAAAGTGTCATATTTTCTTTTTGGTTTTTTTTTTAAACACACCACATTCGAATTGTGTACATGTGTTTACTCTTCCCTTCCTCCCAAACATTCAAATTCTGTCACGTTTTCATGACAAACAAGGAGCAAAGGAGCATAGCTTTCCTCTCTACAAGAAACAAATGCAATTTTTGCACCTTTACTTCAAGAATGCCAGTACGCATAGGCTATTTTTCAATATGCATGATGAGAGGAGCACAACATTTGCAAAAATATATAATTCACTTAAATTATGGCTAATAATCAATGTTTGGTTTATGTCAGTGTTTCATTTTCCCTGAGCGAAATCTGTTTGCCTGAGCTTAAAGTTAAGATTCATAACTGAGTATTTTATTTAATTTTTATGTCTCCATGGAGAACTGTCAGTATATTTGCAAATTAATTCTTTGGAAAAGACCAAATTACATCTTTTTAATATTTAGTCAACTTTATTGTTAATACCTACTGTTTAATGTAAGTTTTGAGAGTCTAGGAATAATAGTATAAGATATAAAGTAATTGTAACATTTGATCTGTTTCTTTTCTGTTCAATACATAGTGTGAGCTATGTATACAGGTCAAATGTGTTATTGAGAGAGATGAAGTTTATCCTTCAGTCCTGTAGGGACTCTTAATGCTTAACTGTATGAAGTTTGTTAGACACTATGAAGTAGAGCTGGGCGATATGAGATTTTTTCATATCACGATATGTTTTTTTCATTTCAGGCGATAACGATATCTATCACGATATAAGCCAAATAACTA